CTGGCTCTTGAAGTGAGGTGTAGGGCCTTCGTCACAAAATTACTCACATCAGACAATGGTGGTATGATACTGTATTAGGCCGAGTTTTAGCTGTATTTAAGCAACAACGATTCTGACTGGGAATTCTGAGAAGTACAAATTCCATGATCAGCTGCACGGTTCCATGTGGCTCGACAAAACTTGGCTAGTTTAGGCAGCACCTTACCTTAGCAGCTGCCTGGCAGGCAGCTACATCCATTCTGAGGAGGTCAGAAATATAACATGTTGATGTACGAACGCAATCACGTTACTCTTTATCCCATAGACATTTAAGAACCATAATATCATTTTAATATCTATGTCTACGTTCAATCATTCTACCCGCGCGAATCTTCGCCGACAGCGAAGTTACAGTCCCTGTGATCAAATGTCTGGAAGGAAACGACAGCGATCTACCCAGCACACGAGATCTAGCCCTTCGCCATCCACGAGTAGCTCCAGTACAATTATTGGGCAGTTTTATGGACTTGGGGACGAGAATGCACTCGATAATATATTCTCGTCTCTTCCACAGACGTTTTCGAGCCTCCCACGCCCTCATGCCTCACAGCGTCTGCATGAACTTACTTGGGCCCTTCGTTCTGATCACGAGATTTATCTCCAGAATGACTTCTCCCGTGAACGAAGACGAATCCAGAGAGTCAGAGCGCTTGTACCGGGCCCAGAACCTGACCCATTCGCCTCTGAACCGCCCGAATCGCCTCCACTCCCCCAGCAACCACCAACAAGAACAAAGGCCGAGTTTGAGTCCGCAATGAGTATAGCACGACATGTCATCGGCGAAGGCCGAAGGTTAACCATTGATCTTGCTCAATCATACGAACGAGTACAGGCTTGGCGAGAGAGATGGGGATGGTCACCCATAAGTTCAGAAGCATACGACTCTCCGCCACCATGCTCTCCACCCCATACGTTGCCAACGCAGCCGCTCCAAGCATCACCAACGCCACAGACTGTCAATTTATCACCCATACGGAAATCTCTATCCCCGGCCCCGGAGCCAATCCCGAACCCCGTGATACCTGGCGACCCAGCACCCTCGGCCGAAGCTCTCTTTAATACTGTAAATACATTTGCGAAGGAGAACGGCTTTGGGATTGTTCGACGGAATCAATACGCTTTTAAAGGGCGAGTAATTAGATATTCCTTTCAGTGTGACCGCTTTGGACAACCTCGGGCTTCAGAAGGCACCGGTCTTCGAACTCGAAAGTCCCGGAAGTGCGGATGTCAATGGAAAATAACTGCTGAATCTCTAGAGGAAGGGAAATGGCTTCTCCGACAACACAAAGATCCAAAACATCATCAACATAACCACCAACCAAGTATTACCCCGTCTGCTCATCCGTCCCATCGACGTCTTACTACACCAGTTAAAGCAACCATCGAGTCAGCAAGTCGTCGAGTGGGCATTCGAGCCAGTGATGTAGCTGCTATCGTTGAAGAACAATTTCCTGATACGACACTCCTACGGAAGGATATTTATAACACCCGTTCACTCATTAACCGGGAGAAACTCCATGGCTACACACCTACCGCAGCATTAATTAAACTTTTTCATGAGAAGAATATTCCATATCTTGCAAAGTGGGCTGATGATGATCCGGATAGGCTACTGGGCCTCGTCTGGACTTTCCCCTACTGTTTACAAATGTGGAAGCGCTTCCCCGAGGTTATCAGTTTTGACAACACATACAATACCAATCGATTCAAGCTTCCATTATTCCAAGCTACTGGTCAAACCTGTCTGAAGACAGTGTTTAATGCTGCATTCGGTTCAATAGATAATGAAAGGAGAGAAGGATTTCAATTCTTGGCAGAGAGCATAAAAGAACTTCTTACAAAACACTCAATTAACCAACCAGATGTCATTATCACAGACTTCGATAAGGCCATGAAAGCCGCTCTTGATGACCAGTTCCCAAATGTACAGCAACAGCTTTGCATTCATCATATCCTTTCAAACGTCTTGCTTAAATCGAAGACTAAGTGGACGGGTAAACGTGTGGGCAGCACTAGCACTAGCCCGACCACAACTGATGATGAAGATGCTACAGATAAACATTTGATCAAAGACTCTTCAACTAGC